TGAGGGATGTTGTATAACTCAACTATCTTGCTTCATGTAGTTGATAATAGTTTGATGAAGTTTCAAAATCGTAATTCCTTACATTGATTTAACTTCCTCATTAGCCATAAAGCATAAGTTGTCTTTCTCATTCAATTTCAACTCATATGAAGAACTCGTGTCATTTTCATCCCATACTATATAAGCCTTCTTCATCCTTTTGTTTTTCTTCACTTTTCTTTTCATTCTTAGAGTATGTTTGTGTATATATATATATATATATATATAGGATTTGACTCTTCTAAAGTGAGGGTGTGCACTTTAGAAGATAAAGGGCACTCTTACAATTGTTGATTATAAAATCAACTATTATGATTTCTGATAAAATTAAATTCTTGCAAAATAAAATTTAAAATTAATTATAATATCAAACTTTGTTTTTTTAATCAATGGTTATTATTGCACTTTATTCTCTCACTTTAGAGGAGCTAGATCCATATTCATGAAAAAATTTCTCAATAAAATTTTCTTCTTTGATTTTTTTGACTTTTTAAGGAAAGGCAATGGGCTTCTAGTAATTCAACTAGGACAGACTATTTTTTTTCCTTAATGGTTTTCTACTTTTCCCCGTAGCATTTCGTTCCTATTTTTTGTGTTTGTTCATTGCTATTGAAATTATAAGGAGAAGTTGGAAAAGAATGAAAAAAGAGAATGTGTGTGTGTATTTCATTAATAAGATTGTGAAGTTTTCTATTAACTACTAACTATTAACATTCCTATTTATAATAATAATATAGGCCAAATAGTACTGTTGTGAATTTTATTACTAGCCCAGCTAAATAAGACTACTAAACAAGAAGTCTCCTAAAAGAATAAGAATCCTAATATATATATATATATATATATATATATATATGATATTTGGCTTTCATGTGACCTTTTTTTTTCACATTCAAAGCAAATGTATGTTGTTGTTTTCATTTTCCTTGTTAGCCTCCTAAAACTTAATAAATATCATTTTTCCTTTTTATAAGGAACTAGTTGAATCTTTCTACTACCATATTGAAGTTCTCACTTTTAGTGTCTTCCAAGTTTAAGCTTTAAACTTTTGTATTGTCTTCTTTGTTAATTGACCTTTGAGAATAACCTTTCATCTTTTTTTCATTGTCTTTCTCAATAGCAAACAATTATAGTCTTTTCTCACGTTCTCTCAACTTTCCAAAGAGCGCGATAAAGAGATTTTGGTTAGATCATTTGCTTCAACTATGGTACTCATTTTTAGTTGCCAAGTTTGATGAAGGCACTTGACACTAGAAAAAAAAAAAGTGATTTCTAACAGTTATTTTTGTAATTTTTGGGGGTTAAAAACTACCACAAATCGCATTTCTAGCGTTATTAATAACCGTCAAATTTACGGTCGCTAAAAACGATTTGTGGCAGAAATTTTCTAAATGCTGGTTTTGCCCGCAAAAAAATTCAGTCAATTTTGTGACTGTTTTTAACCGCCACAAAATGTATTTGAATGTTGCTTGATTCAATTTTTTTTGCGATTTTAAACCACCAAAAATGTTTTTTTTTATTTATCTCACATTTTTTGACAGTTTTAAATTGTCAAAAAATAAGAATTAGTTTTTAAGAAAATCGGTGAATGTAGAAATAATGGGATTCGAAAATAAGGATGAAAACTTAGAAAAATCTTACGCAAAATAGAAGGCTAGTATCTTTGTAATAATAAATTTATGAAACTCATACAAGTTTGCTTTTAGCAATTCACATACTATTAGCAAATGTTGCTGCCATACAATAAAAAGGAATCAAGAATGGTAAAGTCAGCAAAATATGGTGTACAACTATTAATCAAGAAGGCCACTCATAAATTAACAAAAATAAATATACAAGATAAGATAGATTGCAAAGTTAAATGACCATAGTTCAAAAAACAAATTCTTCAAAATTCTCATTTTTTTTTTTTGGGGTTTAAAATTTCCATACTTTTATTTAATACACAAATAGTCCTATAAGGAAATATAATATTTGACAAAATTTAGTTCCAATGTTGAAGGTTTATATCATATCCAGGAATACAATGCAAATTTCCAAAATCAGAAACATTAACTCATTACACAGCAGTTTCATAGTTAAAAAACTAACACAAACAAGTGATATTTAATATATATAGAAAAAATAATAACTATAAGCAGTAGTATTCAACATCACCTAAATAAACTATGTGAATACAATATAAATAAAAGTCCAAATAGAAACTATAATAAAAGGAAAATATATGTAACACAAAATATAGGAAATAAGTATATGTGCCTAAAATTACAACTGGTTAATTTGAAAGTGTAACGCCCGATTCTAATGCCCAATTTATATAATAATAATTATATATTTTCTTATATAATATTTTCACAATTATATCGTTAACAATATTTTTTTTAATAAAGATAAAGGTAAAGAACAATCATATTTTGTGAATTTAATACATGATATATCGTTCTAAAATATTTACAATAATGTATTATTTTACACAATATATTTTTCTTTCACTTTTATTACAATATTTACATTGATAGTGAAAATAAATTTACAAAAA